CCGCGAACAAAAATACATCCGCGAAAAAAAATACATCTTGAAAATGTGGACCATTGATCAAAGGTAATTTGTCATGAAACAGCAATGAAACATGAAGGAAAACGAACTTTAGGCTAGGAAAATGTGAACAATTCCAGTATAGTGGGTGCATTCAACTAGCTTACCCTAGTTACAAGGGTTTAACCTCATCCCTGTCATCTTGCTTGGTTGATACAATGTACACAACAATCCTCAGTCCAGGGTTGCCCTAACAGCTAGCCACAAGCACCCAAAGGTGCATCCAGGACCCAATGTTTTGCAGGAAACTTTATTCTTGGGGCCAATTATTTTTTTTTTATTTTTTAAAGTTGTTTGTGGGGTTAGGCTACATTTCCACTTCTCAAAAGAAGGGAAATTAAATAGACCAAAAAGATCCTTTCATTTTTTCAAAAGAAAACAATTTTTACCCCTTTTTGGGTCATGACCCCAATTGGCCCCTCCCCCTTTCCTGGATTCATCCTTAAAGAAAGCCGCAATGATATGAAACACAGGACTCTTACCTGTGCTACTTATGACGTAACCTGCCTTTTCACTTTGGAGATTTCATCGGTCAGTCCACTCGCACCATGACTGATTTTCAATGACTCTGAAAACCCTGTGCAAGGACAAATAGGTTAAAAGTATTGTAAAGTCTATCATTTGCAATTATCGAAAAGGTATAAAAAATTGTTGTTGTAAAGCATACTTGGCTTAGATAGAGGACTATTTTGAGAAACTGTTTTTTCTGACAAACGGTCATTATGAAGAAACAAAGATTTCAAGCAGGCGCCTTTTCAAGTTTTTGGAAAGTCACTACATTGTATTAGAAATGGGTGCAAGCGTTGACACGATGCACAGACACTAGCAGTTTCTAGAATTCATCAGTTAAGGGGTGACAAGGTGTAGCTGCATTTGAATGAATATGAGAATGTTTCCCAGATGCTGAATTCAGGCACAATTTAAAACCTGACTCGGCAACTTTTTGATCTGAAATCTAAGTCCTAGAATAGTTTTCTCAGAATATGGAGCGTTCACTATTAAGCTGAAACTTCATCTTCATCAGGTTCGGTCTTGTGTTCCCTTCTTCAGATTTGGAGTAATTTTGTTGCTTCAAAGGAATATAATCACCAAAAGACACATGGTGGACGGTACCTTTAAACAAATTGTTGCGACAATCAAAATCCTGACTACTATTGTCGTAAAACAAGAGATGGCTTACTGTACTGGGGCTGTGATGCCAGAAGATGAGCCCACAGGCAGGGGACCAAGCACGCTGCTATCACCTTACTCTATCAGGCCAGTGATGCTAGAAGATGAGCCCACAGGCAGGGGACCAACCACGCTGCTATAGCCTTAGTCTATCAGGCCAGTGATGCCAGAAAATGAGCCCACAGGCAGGGGACCAACCACGCTGCTATCGCCTTACTCTATCAGGCCAGTGATGCCAGAAGTTGAGCCCTACGGGCAGGGGACCAACTACGCTGCTATCACCTTA